TCCAATGTGGTTTGGAAGATTCCTCACACTCGACATAAATAGGATTCACAGACTTTGTAAGTGCGTTCTACTTTGTCATTCTGGTTGCAAGATTCAACAAATTAGAGAGAAGCTGAGCTCTATCCCCTCTGTTCTGGTTGAATGAGTTGAATAGTTGCAGAACACTCAAATATATTGGATCCTTTTCTAATAGCTTAAATTTTTAGAATTGTTCGTTGACTTATCAAAATAGTTATTTTTAGTCCTTTCTCATTAGAGTATGTGTAATTATATCTTAATGCCACATTCATATGATTTAAACTTAGGCTTCGTTCTTTATGATGTGTTCCTCATGCACCATAGCATCTCAAGCCTTTCTGAAACTGAAGCTTCAAGAAGCAACCACACTTTGAGCCCTGCACTTCTGAGATCTGAACACATTATTATTTGTTTACCTCTGTCATCAGGGAGGGTCAACATGCTGATGGTTGACCCCGTGTGATGACAGATCTCTTTGTGGATGAAAATATTAGTCAACCATAAACATCACATCCAAATGGCAACTTGTTTCAGAGTTGTCTACCAAGGTGGTAAAAGTCCACCTCCAATGTTTAGGAGATGCAGTGGCCACAGAAGGGTGCAATTGGCTCAACAAGTTCACAGTTCTTTTTCTTGTAGAATGACCTCCATGGATGTCATCCTTGGAAACATACACATTAAATAAGGAGCAGCGGGAGAACTTTGACCCCTGTTGCAGATTCAGAGAACATAAGTAAGTTGGGAGGTGGAAAATCTAGAAATATGATGTGTTACATAATGGAGAATATATATAATTTTGGAAAGAAAAAGGAGAAAAATATGATGGAGGAAAAATTAATTCCTTTTTGCACTCATTTGTTGATTATTTATTTATAACTTGAATAATTATCTAACATATATTATTTTGGACTATATTCTTAATACTATGATTAAAAAGATGTTTCGAGAGATTCAAATTGATTAGTATATTATTACGTAAATGGTATGTCTTATATCCGAATCTACGTATCAAAGTTACTTATGTAATATAATATTTTTTTAATTTTTTAAAAATATTATAATCAGAGAATATCTATCGAAAAAGTGAGATAATAATAACCATGATGATGTCATTAATCTCCTAGGCTTTTCACCAGCTAAAAATCCAGTTATTGCCCATTGCATGATGCACATCACATTTATTGATTGCATGACACCCACAGAGCTGGTGTTTGATGGCCAGTTTGAATGCTTAATACTGCATGATGAAGAGGAATTAGCTTCCACTTGAAGATAGTAATATATGTGGAGGGGTTGGTGTCAAGTATTGATGATGATAGGGTATCAATGATATAGCAGGTTGCTTCTAGAGACCAAAAGTTTGTGGGGCCAGGAAAGGTACTCTTCACCTGTTTTTCACAAGATATGTATGATAATTGGTAGCACTTTGTAAATTTATTTACTTATTTATATCTACATGAATTGGATGAGAGTACATATTTTAATCTATTTTATTTATTAAAATTATTTATGAGTAAAATTAAATTTTATATAAAACGTAAATATATTATAATATCTCGATTAATTTTATTAAATAAGATTAAGATTGACTTATAAGTATCTGAGGAGTATTATTGATAGGTTAGTTAGTCCATTTAATTTGGATCGTAACATAATGATCGTGTACATTGTACAACCTACTAAGAATAAAACATTTAAATAAATTTTTAAATTCATATTTCTCTTCTATAGTTGAAAATATAAATCTTTTCTTGATGCTTTTGTACTATCTCCTTTCTGAGAAGATACCCTTTTTTTCCCATTGTGGGTGCCTACTATCATCTTATCTATACTTTTCTTTCTCATTTGATAGGAGGATAACTTGTGAACATCACTAGAAGAATTGCACCACACTTCACATACTTTTGCAATATGGCACCTTTTGTACAAAAATCATCAGTGGCTTATCACATGCTACATTTCTTTTGGAAGTGTCATAGGGTGGACACTTTTACTTGTATTAAGTTTGGCATTTTCCTGAAGGATGAGCAGTGGTGGAATTCCTGGGATGCTTGATGAGGATTGATGCTCTTGAGATTAACTTTTAGAGGCTTGATCATTTTGAGACAAGAATTATCTACCTAACAAAGCATTTCTCATAATACAAAGCATGATGCAATGAAGAGAACTCGAGACACATGTAGGACAAAGTCATCTCTATTCATTATATATACTGTTTTTGTCTTCTTGCTTGATGGATAGTTCAAAAGTTAATTCTCCATCGATGAGAATGAAAAGTGACATCTTGAACTGATCCTCAATATATTTGATGTACATGACATGAGAAGATAATATTATTGGACAATTAATGGGTGTTGTCTAATTTTTTTTCTTCTCCAATGTTAATAGATGAGGGATATTTATGCTCATTATACCTTATAATTATGACTTACAAAAGAGACATTTATGCATCTTTGTTACATGGCTCCTACTTGGATGAACATTATCTAGAAAGTCATCTTCATATCAAGCTTACATGTGTTACGGAGAGTGGAAATGTATACTAAGTCAAAGGAATTGTTGGTAATCAAATCGATGGTGGATATAGTTCTCAATTTTCCCGATCGAATTGGCGAAAAAATAATTATTATCCATCATTGTGGTGTTAATTGTAGATGAACAAGTGTGTTAACAAAGGTGAAGCACAAGAGTAGGAGCTATTTTCATCGATGAATTATAATACCTCAGTTTAATCTCATAAATTAACGGGGTATTAGGCAAAGTGTAGTGGGCTTCAAGAACGAGAAACTTGATAGCCCAAGTTGTGAGCTTGTCATATCAACATAAGCACATTTCAAGAGCCGCATTTGATGGATGAATCTTTTTTGGAGGTCAATATTCCCATTCATGTTTCCAAAGAAACAATTTTGTGATGGGTTAAAGGCCAATGATTTTTTTTAATATTAAAAAGTAAAATAAAAAAGTATTATATTTATTTTTTCTTTACGAAAGTAGAAACTATATTATTTCAAAAAGAGAGCCATCATTTAATTTATATTTTCTCCGCAATCTATTTATCATAAGTATATCTCTCCATGAGAGTTAGAGGATAATTTCAAACCAAATATATTTAATATCATATGCAATTCTTTTAATCTTTCACACTCTATTTTATCATGTCATAATTGTCTAGATGAAAATTATTAATTAAGTTTATTTTCCAACACATTTGTTGAAGTCTCACTGGATTCACTCCCTTCCCCCTCATCTATTCAATGCAAAGTTTCATGCAAATAACATCTTATATTCCACTTGTAATGCCTATTAATCAGCTTAAAACATCATTCATAATAAGCACACAAACCCTCTTTTCCTGTAACCAAATACAAAGCATATTAGAAATTTTGCTACTTGAAGCTATCTTAATGAGGAAGGATATCAACAGCCATCAAAACCATCAATATCATGACCCTATTCCTAAGCCCTTTTCTCTTTCAGTATATCCTTGTCTGCCGAGCAAGCTATGGCTTCAGTAGATAGGGAGTCATGATGCTAAGGTCAGCTTCGGAGCCTGTACTCGTATGCTTAAACTTGTCCTGGATACACTATACCTTGCTGCATCCTTACATGGTATCCATTTGGCGTATGTTGTCATCGGCATAATCTACATATACTTCCGCATGTTCATTATTGTCCTAACGTATCGCTAAAGTATACACAAACATTTACTTCACACACACACTCTCTCTCTCTCTCTTTCTCTCTATGTTGCCTTGTGGATGTCTTTAATGTGTGTAAGGATCAGGAGATGATAAGGTAGCAGGAGTCAGTGGTCACGGCATGTTTAAGTTCACGAGGCCATGCAAGTAGGTCTCGCCCCACCTATGGAGTTGGGCATGGGACGTCCATGCTTCGTAGCCTCTGCTGCAGCTTCCTTCCTCTTATTTTATGTGCTGCAAACCTATCAACTGCCGTTGGTTTCAGCACGAGAGAGGGGACAGATCCAGGGAGAAATCCTGAATGCAGATCGATATCATTCATTGCATGATTGCCTCTGGCTGTCCTGAATTCAATAATCTGCAGCAGGTATCATGACTGCCAAGCCATTTTACGTCCTTCCCTGCTCAAATCCTACAATATCGATCGAATGACAAAAGAGGATAGAAAAATGCAGATGCAAATAATATAAAAGGAAAAGTAAAACATAAAGATAAAGACTTGATCTCGATTTTAGGATTTATAAGATATTGTCGAATAGGTTACGATGAGAAAAAAGTACGAAGACAAAAGATAGAAGAAACTCCATATGTCTAGACAAACATCTGTGCTATAGCTTTCTTTAGGATGACACAAGTTTCGTGTTCATATATATGCATGCGTATAGTATCCGCAGTTCCTTTCTAATGGAAGGGCAAAAGTTGATCGATTTGGTTCTCTCTCATTATGTATTCTATTCTGATTCGACGCAAGTGAAATACTTTATTTTTCTTCTCACTTACACATAATATATGCATTTTCGATCATTGTATTCTTTTGTAGTTTTCTCTTATCTCTTTCAGTTTTAGTGGTGGGATAAGAACATCGTTTAGCTTGGTGTTGACATCAACCTCCTGTCCTTTTCTGCTTCTCTTCTTTCCCGAGGAAGAAGCTCAGCTGACTTCCACTACTGCAATCATATGTTGCAACATTGGATAATGAATACAATATTCTCATAGGGAGCAGCATCAACAAGTTGTAGGTGAGCCAAAGGTAATCTCGATCATGATTCGGAGTCCATTTAGTCAACCATGTGACGGTACATGAACGATAACACAACAAAAAGATGAGAGAACACAACATAAAATATGATCAAATTGCAAATGTAGCAGTTCTACGAACATCACAACACTTATTGCTTTCATGTGTGTCTTCTAGATTGATGTACGCATTACATCTTAGCCACCAAAATCTCGCATGCAATTATGCATTGCACTTTGTTATAAATCACTTCCATGTATTGAAGCTTAGTGCACCGGGTGGTGGGCGCCCTGCTCATCGAAGCCAAACTCTAATACAGGAGGAGGAGGAGCTCCCATGGCGGAGGAGGAGGAGGACGGCGAAGAGGCGTGGGACCACTCCGCACCCGCGACCGGGTTCCCGTCGACCACTGCCCCGACGTGAACCGCGTGTGACTGAGGGCTGGCCTGCAGCTCTTGCACCTGCCGCTTGAGGAACTTGACGTACCGGATGGCCTCGTCGAGCATGGAGGTGGTGTCCATCTTGGTACCCCCCGGGACGAGCCGCTGCAGGACGCGGATGCGCTCGCTGATGCGCTCCCGCCGGAGGCGCGCGGCCACGCTCTGCGGGTCGTCGCTGATCCGGACGTTGCGGCGCCTGGGCTTCTTGATCGTCGAGGGGTCGATGTCCACCGGCTGCATGGCGGCGATCCTGTACATCATCTCCTTCACGGCGCCCAAAGCTTCCTCCTCTTCTGCTTCATGGTCCCCTTCCATCCCTCTTCTGGGGAAGCTCGGGGGGTGGATGTGGGCGTGGAACGGCAATTCCAAGGGGATGTAATTAGAAAGGAACTGACTCCCCATGCTCATCTCCGGATCCCAAGGCCGACTCGTGTTTCTGCTGATGCTATCCATAAAGAAAAGCTATGAGAGGAGGAGAAAATATAGGGAGGTAGAGGAGGCTTTTGTTGATCCAAGAACAGTAACGAAGAAGAGTGTATGTAACCTAATATTGGCTGTGATAGGGGAAGAGAGGCTTTATTACACGACGACTTTGGTAGAGCTTGTGACATAGGATGTGGGACAAGTTCTATTTATCTGTTTGCTGAATCGAGTATGGTGAGGGCAATAGAATAATGGGGTGTAGAGAAAGACAAGGAAGTCACCAAATTATCGAGGCTACAGCTGTGCTCCTCGTGAAGGATTCCAGGCTTTTTAGACATCCTTTTCTCTCTCTCTCTCTCTCTCTCTCTCTCTCTCTCAAACATACATTCTTCTTTGCATGAATGACGAATACATGCAATCATTCAATTTCAAAGTATCTTTGTAATTGACCAAGTGTTCATGAAGGAAACGTTATGCCTTTTGCATTCTTTCTCTGAAGCGAATATTACATTTTATGGTTAATTTATTGATTTATATCACATCAAAATTTTGCTTAACTTAAGGGAGAAAAAACTCAACCAACAAAAATTCTCCGATATAAATAAATAAATAATATATAAGAAATCGATGTAAGATATAATATGATTCGATAAGTTTAACAAAAAATAATTTTTTTATATAAAAATTATTTTTCGTTGAGTTATTTTAGACTCGAGCTTGAAAGTTATCATACCTTTCCACAAGTGTCTTCTTCTATGTCTTTCTCTCTCATCACGATCGTAAGGTTTAGGATATATTTATATAAATAAATTTTAATTCTCTAAAGATTCTTTTGACTTCGATTTCTAATCTAAGTTATAATCTATCAATAAATTAACATGTAAATTAAGACTCTTCCAACTAATTTAAATATAAAGTACTTATCAACCTTAACACCAATCATCTAATCTTAACATAACCAATAGAGCGACTTAAAAACTCATACATTCAAAGAGAAAAAGAAAATGTTGACTTGGGAGTTCCAAACAATTGTTTGTGATCAATTGCAGTGACAACCAATGATGCCTTGGGCCATAAACTAGTATTGTAACATAGCTGGAACCCAGGAAACTGTTGCTAATACTTGTGCATCACATGCCAATTTGACATGATGGATTCTGCCTACTGAGCCCTTTCAGAGATAAGGGGGAAACATACATCAAGCAATAATTGCTTGGGGTAAAAAGGATAATTATTTTTCAAAGAGCAAGTTGGTGGGATCTTATATCTAAAAGTTCAAACAATCTCTGCAGCTTCACAATGTTTCCAAGTAACAAAAATGTTTTCTCTTTGGAAAAATCTTGAAACATCTCATTCATTGCAAGCATACAAACTTGTTTATTTTCACTAGATGTCAATGAAGAAAAAGGTTTCCATCAATGAAGAAAGAAGTATAGAGTCAATTGAAGGAAGTTATTAAGAAGAGAAGTCATCATTTGATCTCAAATGGCATTGCAGCCAGAGTAACATTAGCAATAGTATATTTAAGTGCATTTTTCCTTGGCAAGAAAAGCTATTTGATTACAGATTCAGTAAAAGAATTATGATCTAAGAGTTAATGTCAACAACAAACTCTTCTATACCCAACATGATTGAGACTGACAATGTAACATATGTTCTTTTGCTTGCAAGCTCATCCATCTATGGAACTTGTTGACCTTATCATGCTAACTTGAAACATCACTAATAAGCTTCTGAAGTTAATATCTAAATTCCATGAGCAGCCGACTGTATCGGATCATGAATAACATTATGAGATTAAAGATAGAGACTCAAGATGTTAAAATAGTGGTCCATGAGAGGAAGATCATGAATAATATTATGAGATTGAAGATAGAGACTACAGATGTTAAAATAGTGGTCCATGAGAGGAAGAACTAATGACTAGACAGAATATGTGACATCATTTGCATCACCAGATATCATTGTAGAAGCTTCACTCTCAGAAGTTAGAAATATATTTCAATATCTTCTTAGTGACAATAGATAGATAGACAGAGAGGAGAAAATGGATTCCGAGGCATTCACTATGAAGAACAAAGGGAAGATAAAACCATATCCCAAGGACGGAGCTTGGAGGTCTAGGGATGGTCCATAGTCTATGAAGAGAGATGGACATTCCACTAGTGTAATCACCAACAAAGCATTCATCTGATCTAAAGCAAAGTTGCAGTGGAATTCATCCCCACAGTTCTTTCTCGCTCCCTCCTTCCTTATCCATCCATCTAACATTTGACGTTGTATAGGTTACTACTCTCTTAGACACAGATCGCCGAGTCTATAACGTACATGCAGTAGGGTTGTGGTAGTGGTCAGCATCAAAGAGCAGACTTTATAGAGGGACAGAATCAAACGGAAGCGAGAAACATGTTGATGAAAAGAGCTGCTCGAAGAGTTCCGCTTTATCATAGCTTTTCCTCGTCAAGGAAAGATGCAAGTACCAAGATGGACTGCACAATATTTCACTGCATCCATTCCTCAGCACAGGAAAGGCAAGAGATGCGCCAAAGCAGCTCACTGACAGTGATATGGGAGGAGGAGGGACGGAGCACCGAGGAAATGTATATAGCTTCCAACTTGCCACATCGAAAATTAAGAGAAAGGTCAGTGTGCCCAACTCTAATTTCTTGAGTTTGTGCATCACCAATGCAAGAAGGAAAACGAACTCATGCAAAATTCATGCCTTTCGTAACACTCTTTCCGAATCTATTACTTCCAAACAGTAGAGTTACATAGATATTTACTACAGGCAAGTCTCGTGTATGCTATCTTTTCCTCGTCATACTGCAAACAGTAGAGGAGTTGTCTTTCGCCAGTGTAGTGAACAAAGACAAAGCAACATTTTTAGCATGTGCAGGGCACGATATACTATCTTTATGTACGTATGTGTGTGTATATATATATACAATATATATATACAATATATGGGTGGGTTGACCGCATCGCGAAAGCTCATCTGTTGGCACTTATGTCTGTCATTAATGTAAACCGCGCACGCAATCAATGCCAAACATTGCACTAATGTTTTGTCCACACATGAGTGACACGTGGCGCTTGAGCAAAGGGGGACCCCCGATAATAATTTTAAATAGTCTCAATGAAAAGAAATAGAAAACGTGGGGCCCCTTAATTGGACAACTTCTCCGCCAATCGACAAACAGGTAAAACAACGTGTTTATTTTTTTTTCCCCCCTGGCATTTGATATTTCACTTATATCATGTAAAACTTCGGTAACGTACTTCGTGTATATGTTTGACATCGGAAGGTAGATTTACATCAAAATGTCATTAATAGAACATGAATTAAATATTACAACTCGTAAGCAAACGTGTAAGCAGAAATCCTTTTCGTCTATGTTTAATCTAATTATACCGAGAAAAAGCGTGGATGGTCGAAGTTACGAGCTAGCGTTGGACGAATTCGCCTCGCCCCAGTGCAGCAGCATCCTCTCCCAGGAGCAGAACCTTTCATGGCAGATGTGGAGTCTTGGATCGGAGATGTTCCGCCGCCAGTGTCCGTCAGGGAAGTTGGCCTTCGCCGCCTGCCTCCGGTTGTACTCCAGGAAAGCCTTCGTCTTGGTCTGCAGCAGGCAAAACCTCTGAAGGTTCTCCGACAGTGCGTCGTGAACCTTCCACCACGTCGCATGCGCCGCGTCGCTCGCGAACCCCCAGAACATCTGCAGGTCCCAGTTGCAGTCGTAGTCCCGGTAGCACAGCCATGGCTTCAGCCCCAGGTAGTGCACCACGTAGAGCACCGGCGGGTCGGCCCCGTACAGGCTGTCCTTCCTCGCCTTCCTCTTCGCCGTGTCGCCTGCCCAGAAGTGCTTCAGGAAGTTGGTGTGCTTGGGTGTGCGGTGCCACCAGGTGAAGATCTCGTTCAGGTACCCCTGGTCGCCGCCGTTGTACGACGTGATCTCGTCGATGTGTTCCATCAGCAGCTGGAACGTGCAGTTGGAGGGCTCGATCACCATTACGCCCGAGTTGAAGAGGGTCGCGTTGTTCCCGATCGCGCTTATCTCCGGCATCGCGAAGAGGAAGTCGATGTTCCTGAGGACGAGCAGGTCGGCGTCGATGAAGATGATCTTGTCGTAGTCGGTGAGCTGCCAGAGGCGGAACTTGCTGTAGTTCCACTCGTTATAGGCGTCGCGCTTCGCCTTGGGGTTGCGAATCCTTCGGATCGTTCTCACCTTCCACCCTGCATCCTCGAGGCCGCTCCGCTCACGTTCGCTTATCGATCCGTCGACCAGGATGATGAGATCCCTCACAGATCCTGCCAAACGAATGCTTTTGGCCGCTGCAATCGCGCCGCAGACGTACTGCTCTGCTGAGTGCAGAATCGTAGCGTACGCTTCTCGTCGCCCGACCTCCGTATACATCCGAACTGCGCACATGAACAGCTTGTGAATCTTTGGGAGTTCAGTGACGGTAGGAATTTCATCAAACAGCTCACCTTTTGCTTCGAACGGGATGGCGAGCTCGCATGACCCGATCGGAAGGCGAAGCTTCTCCTGCAGCGCTGCGGTCTCGGGCTTGTACAGCCAAAGGTTTCCTTGGTGCCTGGCGAGATCTCTGCAACCGAAGAGGTTCGGAACAGGGAGGCAATCGGTCACCAGTAGCACATGAACCTGCGACCGCCCTGCAGAAGCAGATGCCGCAAGCTTGGCTGCTGCGAGCTGCAGATGCAGCCTCGCGACATCCCTCGACCAGCTCCCCGACCGGTCGCAGGGCAGCTTGGCGGCGATGAGATCGTATCTCGATCCCTTCTTGTCTTGGGGCTGAGGAAGATATGGACAAGTAGGCACATCGTACTCTTCTTCCTCGTCGATCCACTCGGGATACAGAACCTTCCAGGTGATGCTCGGGTCGGCACAGTCGAGATGCACAGAAGAGACCTCTGCATGCGGAAGTGTTCGCAGCCAGAACTCGACCTCGGAGGAGTTAAAGTTCAGCAAGCCAATTCTGAGATCTCCTTCTTTCGCCTTCACATCTTCAAGAACACCCGACATCAGGCCCCATTCGACATCCAACTGCGAAATGTATCGAGGATCCGAGAGCGTCGTCTGCCACATCCGTGCAACATCTGCAAGCCGAGTCCTGCAATGCAGCAACTAGATATTTCGGGTCTTCCTCGACTAAAGCAGCGAACCATGCCCCAAGAAATCTGTACCTGGAACCTGGGCGAAGCTGCTGCTCCTTGGACATAATCGGCGAGAAAGCAAGCGTTAGAATCGTGCAACATGTAACGATGATCAACGCGAGTTTCAAAGACTCGAACTTGCAGTTTGAGCTCCTCTCCGAAAACAGGATCTTGCACTTGTCTACTCTGAAAACTTTCTGAGATTTTCTTTTGCCTGTGTCATCACTGAACCATATGTCGAATACCAGATTAGCTGAAGAGATTTGAATGCACAGAAGACGATGATTGTTCGTAATGTAATTGCCAAAATAGCCATGTAAGAAGCAGAATGAAACGATCTTCCAGATCGGGCGACATACGACAGGAATCAGAAACTTACCAAGCATAATTCAGGAGACAACAAAGCATGGTCCTTTAAGGTGAGGTCGTCCCTTATTTATTCTCACTTATCTAGTGGCTGACTGATTGGTTGTGAAGATGAACATGGAGAAGAAGTAAATGCTGGAAGAATAGCTGATTCTATTAATGATGTCAAAGCTCTCAAGATAAACACATTATGCTGGACCAACTCTTACTCAAGAGCTGGTCTTTCTGGAGGGCTGTAACTATTTTCCGACACCGACGACCCATAAGAAATCCTATGTTAAATCAGTATCGGACCGAAGAAGGTCAATTAACAAGAAGGAATTCAAATTTCAGCAACAGTTTTTATCAAAGGAAATCAGCAAGGATGTCTCAGATCTAAAAGGGCAGAAGAAGTAACGAAACAGAGGATTACCAGGCGATGCCAACATTTCTTTTGCTTGCATCAGACATGAGCAGAGGCAAGGTTTCAATCCTGCTTCTCGAGGAGTTTGGATATCCTCAGTGATCACAGTGCTTCCCTAGGCAATTTAGGTGCCGTGTTCGTGCTGGTACCGACATTTCTGCGTCTCCAACTACAATTTCTTGGCTAGTCGTTGAGCATCATTATCGAGACCAAGCATGCAGAATGGAGGACTTCAACAATAATTGCCTACAGACTAGTTTTTAAGCGACGCTCCCCGTAAGAGACTGCAGACTGTAAGGATGCTACAGTCTTCGTAGAATGTAAAATAGCTAGCCGACCAGGATGAACAAGAAGCTTGGTGGAATGATGGAGACGGAGAAAGGAGAGCCCTTTCCGGCAACAGAAAAGACAGAAAAGGTTGTCTTCTTGCATCAGATTCCATTACCTCCTGAATCGGTGTCTTGATGCCAGTAGCACAGCAAAAACATGCCTATAAGATTGTTCCGACTCCCCAAGAAATCTAGAGTAATTTATCATCCAAAGGGAAGTAAGTAATTAAAGTTCTTCAGAAGGATTCATCTCTCAAAAAAGTTCATTTTTTTATGGAGAGAAAAAGGCCCCGAAGTACTCTTTCAGGACCAGTTGCTTTTGTTCCATTCACCTTTTCCCCCCCCTTTTAGCTCTCATCTCTCATCTCTTTTAGCTCTACGGAGACGTGGGCGATTTCCGGCTTCTTAATCTCTGCTAATTTGAGGACCATGTTGAACTTTGACACAATCACAGCTCTGAGACAGAGAGCTCGAAGAATTGAATGGTACAGAGAAGAAGGAAGAAGAATGGAGCAGAAATAATAGGAAGATCAAGGAACCAAACTTGACACGGAAACGAAATGTTACGAGCTGAAATCGAGGGAGTTCACAGAAGAGTAGAACTTACTCCATTGCAGACGACCGGTGCCGGGCTTCGGCGGAACCAGGAGATGCAACGACGAGCCCTTTCATGACCATCAACTGGCACTACGGGAAGGCTTCATCTGACATTTATCAGGCAGCATAAGAACCGATCTCACGTCAGTGGGTAGACAAACCATGGATAGCAAGCATCAAAGACAAGAAAGAACCACGAGTAGTACGTCGGACATGGATTCCAATAGCTAGAACGTGGAACAGCGTGGAAAGCACATCTCGGCCTGCAAACAGTTGCAGCAAGGCACGTCGAACTTGATTCTTCTCAGACGCTCATGTCACAGAAGAACCGGTCCAACAATTCCATCAAATCCAGAGTAACCAACGACAACAAACCAAGAACCAAGAAACCGAAGAAAAGAGGAGAACTCTTCTCCACCCGAGTCGGTAGGAAGAGGAGGAGAAGCCGAGTGGCAGAATTGAGTGAGCATGGCCACTGCTGGAATCTGGTGCCCTTTTTATGGCTGTCCTATTACCGCACTTGGTTCTGACAGGTAAATCTTTCAGGACGCTGGTTCCTAAGAAAGCCGGGGAATGTTTCACCTTCTACAGGAACTCGGAGGCTGGCTGGCTGGCTTCATATGGAAGGAGGACAGCAAGGGAAACCAAATCACTTGTGGTATTCACCATTCAGCTCCATTTTTAACCCTGGAATCTGATTGTGCTGGTAATATGTTCTTTTCAGCTGCCTTCTTCTCACTCTACTGATCAGATACCTACAAATATGTGAAACAACTATATTTTTACAAACAGCAACAATCTCATTCTATTTACAATCAAGAAGAACAGTCAGAGCATTTACTTGGATTTTCATGTGCTACTGAGCTTAATTACAAACAAATGTATCTTCATAATTAAAAGAAATGCTACATTTACTATACCAGTAGAGTGTCTCTAATATCAGAATTCATTAGATTTGATCAAAATCCTCATCAGATTGTGTGAGGTGTGCTGAAGAATGGAATCTTCCCATTTTCTGGATAACAGGAAATGTTCAGGTTCATGTTTCTGCTTTGAGCAAAAACAGAATCTTGAGGTGGATGTTGTGCTCCATATTGAATGGAATTTTTGGACTGAGAGGAGAGAATGAGTGTGCTACATTGGATTGAACTAGAATTTGGTAGTCCATCACTGGATGACTGGTTGTCAAGCTACATTTGGTTGGATGGCGCTTTCGAGTTGCAGCAAGCAGGGGGAAGAGATAACAATATGGACATGGGCTGTGTATGCTCATGGAAAAGATGACATAACTGCAGGTCTCACTCTCACGGGAGTGCAAGAGTCCATCAAAGAAACTCACATGCCACATTCTTTAATGCAACAAGGTAAATTTTCTTAGATCTGTTCTATCTGGTCTTACTTTTCAGCTTAAGCTGTCAGATACACACACTGATTGACAACAGGGGCTGTTCAGTATCATGTAGATCACGAAACTGTGCCAAAATGATCCATTAAATTCAGAAAAAAAAATGGTTTCTCTATCTTCACAACAAAAAAGCAATTTTTTTTCATTAAATTTCGTAAGGTTAGGAATTAAAAGAGGAAGACATCTGACAAGACAAAACAAGAATCTTTTCTCACACTCTTCAAAAAGCAGCAGAGAACACATGGTGTGCCAGAATACAGCTGAAAAGATAAACTAGTAAGACCATTTCCTTGGTGTAAAAGGTCCCTTCAAGTTAAAATTTGAAAAAGCCTTTTCTTTTTTATACATAGAGAGAGAGAGAGAGAGAGAGAGAGAGAGAGAGAGAGAGAGAGAGAAAATATGATTCAGGAGACACAATTAATTAATTATTTCCTTGGTGTAAAAGGTCCCCTCCCTGAATGAAAGGGCATTTTAGATAAGAACAGAAGGGTCAAGAAATGGAACTGGATCTACTTTGAATGCAGCTGCTTCTCTCTCAATAAGGACCCCTTGTCTCGTCTTTTTCTATTTGTAGAGAGAGAGAGAGAGAGAGAGAGAGAGAAAGAGAGGAAGAACACATTTTTTTATGAATTCATTGAATCAGCACTTGAATGAGGCACAAAAGTAGAGAAGCTTATGCTTTCGTGGTAAACTTTTCTTCCCAAGAACATAGTTCTCATGAATTTCCATATTTCTCCTCTTTGTATTACTACTAATGTTAATTATCTCATCTCTATCGTATCATTAGTACACACACATATATATATATCATCTTAAACAAAACTTTTCTCATTTTATTTTCGATCCGAGTTATGAGTAATTATCAATGGATTCAATGTTGTCTACCACTAAACTCTTCCCACAAGAAGCCAAAACCGATTCAACATCTGGAGCAGCAATCAAATTACTCCATTGCACTGTTCGGAAGATGCAGGACCCTCTAGCAATCTGGACACCGATTGCGTGACCGACAGATGGAGACGGTGAGAGAGAGAGGAATTTAACGATCCAGCAAAAGCTAAGGACAGCGAAGCAGCGCTTGCTCTACAGTGGTTCTGATCTCAGTCCTTATCCACTCATCGAGCACTCCTGCAAAGATTTGCAATCACCTGTAACTCGTGCTTAGCCACGGAGGAGGAGGAGAGAAAGGAATGGTACATCCGAATATAATATTTCGATCAAAGTCTTTACCAACTAAACTAATTAATAACTTCGAGTTCGTCATGTAACTCGATATATTTTGTTATCATGTTACTATCAAATTAAAACGAAGATCGATCGTAAAAAGAATATTTTTTTATGATCAACTCGAGTGGGATGATTTTTTCTTTCTTTTACCAACAACAGCACTATGGTATTTAATTATGGCAGCCCACCCAATGAGGTAGATGTGATTTAAGACAGATATAGTGGCAATCGAAAATGACAAGCCATGTCGGCTGCATGATATTAAATATAAATGTTTATCGTATTTATTATGGCAGGTGAAAACTTAGCTTAACTCAAGGAGACAATAATGTGACCTCAGTTGCTCTCATAGCCTCGGACCCCATCTTTTACCTCATTTGCATCCATCCAAGTACAGTTGTGCCGTGGGACCCACTACCACCTGTGCGTCGGTCGAGATTTCTGTGGCACTGTAGAGCATATATATATATATATATATATATATATATATATATATATATATATATATATATATATATATATATATATATATATATATATATATATATATATATTTTTT